CGATCCAGTTCGATTTTACCCTCAAACCGATAAAAATCGGACCGAAACCGAACTGGTCGAACCGTTAACATCCCTACCTAACATCTCTTGAGTTGATCGACAGCACTGAGATGGAAAAAGGCTCGGGAACTTCTCCAACTTTACAGACAGGCAAGTATTATAGTTTTCGTATATATAAGTGGCGTGATAGAGACCTCCACGCTCTCTATCATTCAAGTTTCTACGCCGAGCCACAAAGGCAATGTTGGGGCACAGGTGACCTTTACGCTTGCCTGATGTTAAAGTCTCTACGCTTACTGATATTGTTGGCCACAGATGACCTCTACGCTTGTCTGATGGCAAAATGAATATATGTTAATTAAGTATACTACTAATTCACTAAATTTTTATTTTAGGGTAATCGATCCGATTTAAAAAGAGCAAAAGAATGGGAAAATATGCGTTTGTGCACGCGGATTCATATTAATAACAATCCAACTGTAAACGGGATAATGAACGGGACAATAAATAATGTAAATGGGACTATGACTGGTGATGCATTTAATACAGTTAATACAGTACTTGTGCCAAAGAGGAACAATCGGGAATAGGTAAAGATGCGTATCTTTAACTAAAACTATTAATTTGCGCTAGTTCTTAATGAATTACAATTTATCCCTAGACCAATGACAAAATTTCTAAAAGAACAAAAATTAACGATTTTTTTTCTTTTCTGCACATGCTTCCACTCCTCAACATGAACAAGAAAATCAGGCTGTTGTGTTTTAATGAATACCCCAATGAACCAGTGTTGTCAAATGATATTGAAATGACATTGAAATGACATCAAATGACATCAAATGACATTGGTTTTACTATGAGAAATGACAAATGTCATTTAAAAAATAGGCAAATGACATTGCAATTTGCCAACACTGCAATGAACATTGTATTTCTATAGACTTTGAATAATAATCAATAATTTTCAGCAGATTTGAAAATGAATCAAGGATCATCATCTGTTCCGTCTTCTAACGATCTTAATTTTGTGACATTTCTGATGAACCTAATTTACACACTATATTTACACATATAGATATTGACCCTGGATATTACGATGTTAAGAAACGAGCAAAGATTTTTATTCATGGGAAGACGAAATTAATAAGATTGAATTCAAAGATACTTCTAAAAAGGATGCGAGTAACACAATGTGATCAATGCTATGCTATTTTTTTTTTTAGTAATAAAAACTATAATGATATATTAGTCTTTTATTTTTATATTTTTATATAAATCTAATTATATTAGGACTTAAATTATTACTTTTTAAAAAGGGTATTATTTTACAACACATCCTAATTACATCAAATCTTACTAATCTTTATTTTTCAATCCAATCGGAGCTGAAATAAATGATCGACAAATGTTCAAATCAATTGCCGCAGATGACCGGAAACTTGACCAAATTTAGACTGGATTATAAAACAGTCAAAAGTTACTATATTATAAATAAAACAATAAAACAATATACTGATTGTAATTCGTGAATGTAAGAATGTTCAATATAATTGCAATGAAGTATGAAGTAACACAAAAATTTTTCGGGCGATAGTCTCCATCTCATTAATTCAAATTTTTATATTACTTAGCCTACTATATTCTGTAAAATATCACTCAAAATAATTTTTGACCTTCCATTTGAACAATGAATCAAATCCTAAAAATTCGGCGTAAATATGTTAGGGCTTGACAATGACTTAATGTTAACAATTTGCTCAATTTTGCCCACTTTTCTATCTCCAGAATTTAAAATGAATTCCGAAAAGAATCTGTTTTTTTCTTCCATAAAATATAGATGACATTAGTAAACTTTTACATCGTAGAAACGTATTGTATCTTCCTCCATTTTACTTCCTTTTGTGTTTGGAAGATTTTCTATCGCTAAAATTTTATTCGTAGAATCTGGTTTTGCCCAACTTGGAATTGAATTTTCGCTCGAACGTTTATTTACTAAAGAACATTTAGAATGTCTACAAAAATTCGATTTGTAAGCTATCTGGAATTAATCGACATTTTTTTTTTTTGTATGTAATACATTGCCGGCAGGAAAGCACCCGAATTGATTATTAATATTCCAGAAAATTATAAACTTACACGAATTTAAAGTTCAGTTCTATAAGATGCCGAAGATTTAACCGATTTTAATGAAGCCTATTTGTGGAGATAAATAATAAGGAAAATTTATTTTACCGATTTACCATCTTGAGTAAAGATAAGACCAACACAAATATGTGTTTCCGGATCGTTATATATAAAGTTTTGCCAGATCCTGTCAATTTACCCTTTTGACTGTCATTTATTACATATTTATTACCCGAATTTGCTTAAATACGACGAATTTTTCCTTGATAAAAATGTTGAGAAGAACAAGTTTTGAAAATCATTTTATTTTTGATACCTTACGTAGAAGTTACTGCGCCCATCATATACTATTGATATTTCACAACTTTTTTTTTAAAAAAAACAAAATGACATTCTGGAAAAATAAACCACCACCATCACCAAAACCTAACACGTTAATTCCCGAAGCAAATGCAAATATATTTTCAAAAGTTATATTTTGGTGGGCCGGAAATATAATGAAGATTGGGTATAAACGTCCTTTGGAAAAAGATGATCTTTATGTTTTGAATGATCCAAAACTAGCTAAAAACGTAACTGATGAATTTGAAAAATCTTGGGAAAAGGAATGTTCACGCAGTGATGGGAAAAATCCTTCTTTATTAAAAGCTCTTAATCGTACTTTTGGTTTCAAGTTTTGGACTTCGGGTATTTATCGTTTTTTGAGTGATACCTTACAAGTCGTTTCACCTTTGTTTGTTCAGGTATGATGATAATTTTGGTCATTTACTGCGGTATCCGTCACGTGAATTTAGGTTATACTTATTGTCTTCATTAATTTTTCTTTTATAGCTATTATTGAAATTTGCTCAAGACTCTTGGAATAACAAAGATGATCGGGATGCTTCTCCTAATTCTTCTATCGGATTCTTATTTACTGTAATCATTTTCGTAATGCAAATAGGCTCAACACTTTTTAGCAATTTATATTTTTACAATGCCATGGAGGTAGGATTTCTGGTTAGATCTGCAATGATCACTGCAATTTATCGCAAGGCTATGTTATTAAGTGGAAAGGCACGTAATGCATTTACCGCGGGAAAAATAACGAATTTAATGTCAACCGACACTACGCGTCTTGATTATGTATGCGGTTACTTTCACGTGATATGGGCTGCGCCAATCCAACTTTTTATAGCCCTTGGCTTATTGATTAGAAACCTTGGCCCTTCAGCCTTGGCAGGATTTGGATTGTTACTTATAATGAGCCCATTTCAAGGAAAAATTATGCGTATTTTGGGAAAGACGCGCTCAAAAGCTGCGAAAATTACTGATGAACGCGTAAAGCTTACTCAAGAAGTTTTACAAGGTATTCGAGTTATTAAATATTACGCATGGGAAGAAAGTTTTTTGGATACGTTGAATGAATTAAGGGATAAAGAAATGGGTTACGTTAGATTATTATTGAGTATGAGAGCTGGTGTCACTGGTGTTACTATGGTCATCCCGGTGTTTGCAAGTATATTAGCTTTTATAGTGTATTCGCTTACCGGAGGGGAACTTACTGCGGACGTTGTATTTTCTTCTTTGGCTTTGTTTAATATCATGAGATTACCTTTAATGTTTTTGCCCGTGGTAATCGCTTCAGTTACCGATGCTTTGGTATCTGTAAAACGTATTCAAGAATTATTCGTGGCCGAACAATTAGATTATTTACCAAAAGTTAATCCAAATGGGGATCATGCCATTAAAGTAGATGATGGTGAATTCATCTGGGAAAGTGCTCCTCCTGAAAATTCACAAAATGATAATAAAGGCAAGAAAAAACATAAGAGATCAAAGAAATCATCTAAAAATGAGGAAAAAATTCATGAAGATAAAATAGAGAATGTAAATGGGAATAATGAAACGACAATTTTAACACCCATGGATTCTGCCGAACACATGGCAAATGTCAAAACGCTAACTCCATACTCACACCTTCGAAACGTTAATCTTTCAATACCTCGTGGTAAACTTGTTGCCGTTGTAGGATCAGTGGGTAGCGGTAAATCTTCTTTGCTGTCAGCGTTAGTTGGTGAAATGAAAAAAGTACACGGGGAAGTTGAATTTGGCGGGAATGTTGGATATTGTCCTCAAACTGCTTGGATTCAAAATGCAACTCTGAGAGATAACATTCTATTTGGTTTGCCTTTTAACGATGAAAGGTATCATAAGGTTATTAAAGATTGTTGCCTTGAACCGGATCTGGCCATGTTGCCTGATGGCGATTTGACTGAGATTGGAGAGAAAGGAATTAACCTGTCAGGAGGGTGAGTATCCTTTTTTACATATATAAATATATATTTATCGTGTAAAAAAATTAATATGTATCTATGTATTTGAAAAAAAAAAAATTTTTTTCAGTCAGAAGCAACGTATCAACATAGCTCGTGCAGTTTACTATGATGCAGATATCGTGTTGTTAGATGATCCTTTATCGGTATGTATAAAGGTTATTTTGATATTTCTTATAGTGGATGGATTTGAAATTAATAAATATATATTTTTTTCTTTAGGCTGTAGATTCACATGTTGGAAACCATCTTATTACACATTGCATTAAAGGCGCTCTTAAAGAAAAAACGCGTATCCTTGTCACTCATCATTTACATGTGTTACCTTATGTGGATTATGTTATTTGTATGGAGAATGGTAAAATAGCAGAGCAAGGTACTTATGAAGAATTAATGAGGGATGGAAAAGCATTTGCAAAATTGATTGAAGAATATGGCGAAGCTGAAGCAGAAGAAGAAATTGATGAAAAGTCAGATGAAAAAGAAATTGAAAAGGAAATAAGTACGGGTGTTGTTGCACCAGTAAAAGCTTTAATGACCACAGAAGAACGTGTAACTGGTTCGGTTGATAATTCGGTTTATTTTGCTTATGTGAGAGCTGCAGGAGGATATTCGTTATTACCTCTTCTTCTGTTTTTACTCATAATGACGCAAGTCACTAATATTGGGTATGTTCCTTATCTTTTCTTAAGTTATGGGTTAATGCTATGAAACTTAAAAATATGTGATATTAACATTTTCAAAAATAATTTATAGAAATAATTTATGGCTGTCTTTTTGGACAAGTCAAAAGTTTAATATGTCAACCGAAAAATATGTAATTATTTTGTATACTAAAATTTAACAATTTATCATTGAATTCTCATTTATTTTATTCTTTAATTATCAGATGGCAATTTATTTGGCATGGGGAGTTTCTCAGGGAATTTTCAGTTTGATAAGTGGCCTAATTTTCTCATACGCTGGTTCTAGAGCTGCAAAAATTTTACATAGAAATTCTATTAAAAGAGTTTTACGAGCTCCAACTAAATTCTTTGATACAACACCGTTAGGAAGAATTATCAATCGGTAAGTTTGAAAGATATTTGTGTTTGTATTCCTGTTGAAAATGTTATCAATATGTTATTAATTGTTGAATTTGTATGATACAGGTTCAGTAAAGATATTGATACGTGCGACAATTTACTTGCTGACACGTATCGCATGTTCCTTAGCACTTTAGCGATTGTGCTTGGAACATTTATTTTAATTAGCATCGTATTCGTATACTTCCTTATTCCTTTGGTTCCGCTTTTAGCATTATATTATTTTGCTGCTCTCTATTATCGATCCACAAATCGTGAATTGAAACGTAAGTTTAACATAAATTAAAAAGAATTTTTTTTTTAGTTTTTCTTATTAAAACCAATTTGGGTTTTCTAGGTCTTGACTCCGTTTTGCGTTCATCTCTTTATGCACATTTCTCGGAATCATTAACGGGATTACCTACGATTCGAGCTTATCGTGAACAAGATCGATTTTTAAGGTTTGTTCTACCTTTAATGATATATATATATATAAATATATTTTGTAGATTTAGAATATAATTCATCCGAATAAATTTTTAATTGATAGAACGAACGAGCAATTTGTTGATATTGAAAATCGGGCATACTTCCTTACAATCGTTGTCCAACGTTGGTTGGGTCTTCGGCTTGAATCAATTGCAAATGCATTAATATTCTTTACAAGTTTGTTTTCTGTTATTGGAAGATATAACGTAGACCCTTCGATTACTGGTTTAGTACTAAGTTATGCACTTCAAGTTACCGGTACTTTCAACTGGTGTGTCAGGCAATTTGCTGAAGTGGTAAGTCGATGTTTCACTTTATCTATTTAAAAAAAAAAAAATTTCGACTTCTTTTTTTAAAACGTTCCTTTATTATAAATATCAGGAAGCGAATATGAATGCTGTAGAACGTCTTGTATATTATTCAGATTCACTGGATGTTGAAGCAGAACCAATAATTTCTGATCATAGACCACCACCCGAATGGCCCGTTAAAGGAGAAGTACATGTTAAAGATTTGGTGATGTCTTATGGATCTGAACATCCACCCGTCTTAAAAGGAGTTACATTTGATATCGTCCCATCAGAAAAAGTTGGTATTGTTGGAAGAACTGGTATGTATTTGTGAACATTACGATATCCTGCTATTGATCTTATAAAGAGAAAATTCTAATTTTTTTTTTTTTAAAAAAAAAAAAAAATAAATAAATAAATAAAAATAGGTTGTGGTAAATCAACATTGGCGACATCTTTCTTTCGATTTATTGAACCAACTTCAGGACAAATCGAATTGGATGGCATCGATATTACTACCATCGGTCTTAAAGATCTTCGAAGTAAAATCACTATTATTCCGCAAGATCCCGTTTTGTTTAACGGCACGTTAAGGTAATTAATTAACTTATTTATTATATCTCGGAAGAGAATAAAAACATAAAAAATATTAACCGATTTTATCTATTAAGGAGCAATTTGGATCCATTCAAAGAGCATGATGACGCAACATTATGGAATTCTCTTCGAAGAGCTCACTTAATTCAAGAAGATTCAGATAATGAGAATACGGATTCCACGTTAAATGGATCCTTAAATGAAAAATCACCCGTGATAAATGAATCGATACCACAACAAAGCAAACAAGAAACGTTGACACTTGATTCACCTGTCAATGAGAATGGAAGTAATTTTTCACAAGGTCAACAACAATTAATAGCATTAGCAAGAGCATTAGTACGACATTCTAAATTAATTATAATGGATGAAGCAACAGCCAGTGTAGATTTTAAGACTGATCATTTAATTCAAACTACAATAAGAGAAGAATTTAAAGATTCGACAGTATTAACCATCGCTCATCGGTTAAGGACCGTTGCTGATTATGATAAAATTTTAGTTATGGGTATGTGTTTTCTTTTAAGTTTTAATCTTATTATTCTGTGAATAAATGTTTTAACAAATATTGTTACTCCAATAGATGCTGGAAATATAATAGAATACGATATGCCATATATATTAATGCAAAAACCTGATGGGATGTTTAGGGGAATGTGTGAAAGAAGCGGCGAACTTAATGAATTATTGGAAGTTGCAAAAGAGAAATATGAAAAACAAAAAGAACGAAAAACGTGAAGATTTTAATTAAATAAATATATATTTATATATATTGATATTTTAAAGACAAGCTTACCGGTGTCAACTTGATATCGTCTCTAGCAAATCTATAATTTTAACGGTTTTATAATCCACATGTGTTGTTGCCTTATTAATATCATGACAATTAGTTATACCTCTGTCTTTATGTAAGGAACACTATAATACCTATGCGAAGACACGAAGAAAGTTGAAAGTGTAAAATAGAACTTTGTTTCTTGTAATTTTTTATTATCTCAAGACTATTTCTATTACAAAACTCTATCAATGAGCTACAGGTCCTTTATACAAAAATTATATTCTAAATTTTACTACAAACATACTAATGTAATTAATGAATGATAATAATAAAAAGATATAAAAGATATAAACTGCTACAGTTAACATACTATATTATATATAAATGATAATGAATATGAAAAGAAATTATGTCGATTATTTGATACAGTATTTCAATTTTAATCGCAAAAATGAAACTAATGAATTTCTTTATGGATGCTTACTAATTAATTAATTTATCTACTAAAATCACTTAATGTGTTTTATTTTTTAAAACCTTTGTAACAGCATTTTTAATAACAGAAGCTGCTTTTTCAATTTCTTTTTTAGTGAAACCAGCACTTATGCAAATTCTAATGCTTGGTTCAACTCCAAATAATTCTTGAGATCTGACATATTTAGCTCTGGTTAATAAAATTCCATTGTTTATAGCCTATATTAAAAAAAAAAAAATTTTAATCAAAAATAATTTTTAGCGTGAAGAAAAAAAGATGTTACTTGAGTCTTACTTCGTCAACAATGTCTTGCAAACATCTCTCTTTATCTTGTATATCACCAACTCTAACAATTTCTTCATTAATCCTAAGATGTATAACAGGAGAATCCTTGGAACAATTTAATAACAAATATTTAACATTTTTTAATATTTGTTTGAATAATATTGTATTTTGATTGATTGTTAATGGAAATTGCGGATTTCGTTTTAAGATATTTAATGATTCCGATGCTGATACTGTCAACATTGCTGGCAATGATGCTGAATAACAATATGCCAGTCCTGAAATTCTCTGTAAAACAAAAAGTATTAGTGAAGAATACAAAGAAAATAAAAGCTTAACTATATTTAAAGTCATACCTGATGTTCAGTGATTTCGAATGATCCAGAACAAAAACCTCCTGACGAACATAATGCATTACACATTGATCCAACAATCATGTCAACGTCAGTTGGCTATAAAACAATAAAATTAATAAAGAAATTTTCCGGGGATCAGAATTTAAATACATAGAACTTTACATACATTAATGTCAAAATAATCAGTTAAACCAGCTCCACGCTTTCCCATTATACCAAATGATAAACTTTCATCAAGAATAAGTCGATATTTATATAGTTTTTTTAATTCAACCTAAAAAATATATATATATATATATTTTCAATTAATAAATTAATCTGACAAACTAATTTCATAAGAAAATAGTTATATACCAGTTTAGGTAAAAGAGCAATATCACCATAATTCTCAAATATTCCTTCGGATATAATGAATCTTCTCGTCAACCTTCTTCCAGTCTAAAATAAAATTATTTGTTAAAATCAAATAATTCTCAACCAAATATAGATATATATAAGTATATTTAACCTCAATATCTTCATTTTTAATTTTTTGCAAAATTCTTTCTAAATCTTCCATATCATTATGTTTAAACCATTTAATAACAGATCTAGAAATTTGTACCCCTTTTTGAATAGCAAAATTACATCCTTCATCGCTACAAAATCGAAATAAAAAATTAATTACTTGATTATAAAAAATCTCTTTTTCTAAGATTGTTATGACTTACATTACGAGAATATCACCTCTTTTACAAAATGATGGTATAGCCGAACTTATTGTAGAAAATCCTTGAGAATATATTATAGTATCCTCTGTTCCAAGAAATTCCGAAACTTTCTTTTCAAATTCCGTGTGTACATCTAAATAAATAAATATAGGAAGACTAGATTTTAGTAAATTTATTTGGGTGAAAGAAATTTTTTTGGTTTAGGGATAAAAAGTTTGAAGAAAAATTAGATGAAATTTAATTTAATACCAAAAGTTCCATAAAATCCCGGCGGACCACAGGATCCAACGCCATACTTTTTAAGTGTCTCAATAGCCTTTTCCTACAATATATTAAATAATCTAATTAACAATTCAATTAAATTGGATCTTTTTTAAAAATAATTAATAATTACCTTGATAGTAACATTAGTTAATAATCCCAAAAAATCAAAACTTGAAAAGTTCATTAAAGATTTACCATTTATTAATTTTACTTTTAGCCCTTGAGGTCTAAATGAAAAAATTGATTATTAAAAATTCTACATAATGTACCACGTGACACATGGTAGGAAATTTGATACAAACCCATTAATTACAGGAATTTTTTCTAATTCTCTTTTATCATCATCAGAAAGTTGTGGTACAAGAGGATCAGGTTGCCATTCATCAACTAACTCTTCAACTTCCTAATTATATTCATGAATTTCTTTACGTATATATATAATAATATACTTAATTATTTAAAACATTCTATTATGTAAAGTACCTGAGGAGTTAATTCAATAAAATTATTATCAGTTCTATACTTATTAGTAAATAGATAAATTATAGCAAAAAATACTAATAATAATTCTAAAGCAGTTCGAAAAGGATCATCTTGGTGAGAATTTTTAATATATTTCAAAAGAATTGCTGATCCTGGTATGCGTGAATAATATATTGAAATTTGTGTTATGGTTGTATTCAAAAATACAAATAATTCATTTAATGCTGGATATGCCGTTTCCATTGACTCCATTGAAATTTTTTAAGAGAAACGAAATAAAAAATTTTTAACGTTAAATGTCGTGCATTGTGTATTATTTATACATCATAGGGAAAACTTTCTTCAATCGGGTAAAAATGTTGATCAGCATTTCTATAATGAGTATAACTATGAGTTGTTTTTTATTGCCGATCATTGTAATACCTTTTTTTTTTGGCAGAAATTTACTATAAAAATAAATTATAAAAATCGAAGATCTATTAGTATGGTTATACTATCAAAAAGTGAGGCATGCTGTAATTGCCAAAACCATTATTTTTACAAATTTAGTATAATTTTATCATGTTTGTTCATTGTTATCAAAGACTAAAACCAAAAATATTTAATAAAAAGTCTTATATGAAAAAAAGAATTCTTTTATAGCCAAATCAAAATTTTCAAAAAAACGTCGTCAAATGTTACAATTAACAGCTTATCGTGAGAGGACAAAAAATATATAAATAATAGTATACAATTACAAAATGAGTTATTGATATTTGTTAAAAATAAAAAATAATATATTTTATCAATAATATTGAATATTTATCTAAAAAAATAGAGCTCTTATTAATAAATTAACTAATCTTACTTTTAATTTGGATTAGTATCTAATTTTAACGTTTAGAGTACCTGTATAAAAAATCATTAAATTGTGTATCATTATACAAATTTCCAAAAAAGTAATACGATTTCCTTTTGGAAGTTTATATAATATCACGTGATCTACTCCACTTATATCTTGGATTATTAGATTTATATGTTAATTCCGACCAGAATTGCGTATTATAGGATGTTTTTCGTTATTCTACATACCTCTATTTTTAAGATAACCAGTAATCAATCTTAGATTCATTAGAATCGTCTCGATAAGAGGAATCTAATAGTAGTAAAATCGCATTTTTAGAATTAATATTAAACAAATTATTGTAAAAAACTCATTTTATTATATATTATTAACAGAAAAAATTACAATTCATATTATATGAGATTTGCTAATCAATAATGATCTAGCATATTTATTCTGTATATTCTATTTCACCTATAATTCTTTTAATATCTATAATTTATTTTACTTATTTTTATTATTCTATTATTTTTAAGTATATTTTTATTAAAAAATATATATATATTTAGTTAATTTATAGCAGAGATTCAGAAAAATTCTGATATCAAATTATAAATTATTATCACAATAACAACAAAATTCTGATTTTATTTTTATAAAAATTTTTGTATTTATTTATTACTATTTTGATTATTAAAATATATTATAATAAGATATTTAAATGATTTTGAACTTAAATTTTACCTATTATCATCTAAAATTTTATTATATGAGAAAAAACTCCTTTTTATCATACAAGAAAAGATTAGCAATTTTATATAATTATATGGGATTTTTGCAATAGAAAGGGAGGAAACTCAAAAAAAAATAAAAAATGAGTTAATAATAAATCTGAACAA